CAAAGAACATTAAGCAGCAAAAGCCTCCACTGATAAGATCGTTACCACTTCATTCCACGGTTTGGTTTTCCGGGCAAACTTGAACATGATATGGGGGGGGGGGGGGGGGAGGTGTGTGCCACTACAAATATACCCTGGGGGTTGTGATAATTTTTGTGTCGTGGTGTATCATTTCTACGAATCCCTCTTGTTTTTCCCCAAAAAAACAAAAAAACACAAAAAGCCCCCCCGATAGAGATTTTTACCTCTTCTTTCCCGGTTGTGGTTTTCGGGGAAAAATTTAAACTGGAGGGGGGGGGGGGGGGGGAAGAGAATTTGAGAACCTTCAGTTCAGACGATTTGAGGAATCAGTTGGAGTGATACATTCTAGGACTACGCCATACCGCCCACAGGGCAATGGATTGGTTGAAAGAATAAACCGAACCTTCCTAAGTATGCTGCGGACTGTTTCTGAAACTCACAAGACTAATTGTAAGGATAACGTGAACAAACTCATCTATGCCTATAACTGCACCGTGCAGGAGTCGACAGGATATTCACCATTCTCCTTGTTGTTCGGGAGGAGTCCTCGTCTGCTGGTTGACATTATGTCTGATTTAAAGAGTGAAAGTGGTCCTAGCTCCTATGCTGAGTATGTGTCCAAACGAAAAACACTCATACAAGAAGCTTATTCCTGTGCATCCTGAATCAATCGCTAGCAGTGCTTTTAAGAGAAAGAAGATTTACGACAGACGAGTGAAGTCCTTAGCATTGAAGACGTATGACCCTCCTGACAACTCCACTTACATGAGGCAGATTGACTCTTCTCCGACTGGAGATGTAAGCCAGTGCGCGATGCAGCGACCACTTTATCCATGAACTGGTGGAACTTGTAGTCAATAAGTGGAGTGTAATTCAACAACCATCAGTTTCCTATCCACCCATGCCTCCCGTCATGACGCTGTTGCTGTTTTGGAATGCAAACCCAGTGATGCCTTACATGTATCCAGGAGGAGTGACATACCAGCCACATTATTGTTGACCAGTAGGAGTGCCACACCAGATACCAGACACTAAACACTTTGTTGCTTCTTTTTCTTGTTTGAGAACACTTGTTTTTTTGAAAAAAAAAAAAAGAAAGAAAGAAGAAAGTTACGTGTATTTCCAGCATTCAGTACCTGAATACGTCAGTGGCTTATCGACAGTCAAGTAGCAATTGATGAACATTGAGTGCGGACAGATTTTAGGACTTTAGTATCCAGTTGACTACACTGGAAATGGGCCTGATTTTTTTAGGCTCGGTTACCAGCCGCTGTTCGGGAAAATGAGCCCGCACTCATCCCCCCAGAGGAGAGGATCAAAGACCGGGCCCGGGAGAAGGCGGAAATCGAGCCTCGGGCCTGATCAACCCATTTCAGGTTTCCGATGTTTCAGGAAATGCCGTTACAGAACCCGCTGTTATGAAGTATGTAGTTTTGCTAAGTTTTAGGTTACTAATTACAAGGATGACATTCTCTTTTTAACAGGGGAAGGGTGTAAGGAATGGCTTCGTTAAGTCCTCGATATATATTTGTTATGTAATTTAGTGCCAGGTGTCATACTCGAGTAGGACTGCAAACCCTGTATGACGCCGTGTGACGTAACAGAAAAAGTGTGCTTGGCGAGCGGCAGGAAGTGAGCAACGTAAGGAAACGTTGTAAAACAGATCTAGTTTGGATGTTTAAATACATTTGAAGAAACCAAACCCTGGTGTTTGTTCAGCATTACATATTTTTAGGATTTTGTTGCAAATCCTGTAAGAAAATAATTTTCTACGTACAAGTAAACTGCAGCAAGTCAAATTACGTAGCTTTCTTGGTATTTTCTGGTAAAGCTGCTTTTAAAATCCACTCCCAGAAAAGTGATAGCTAAGGATATTTCAAGTTAATCAAGAGTTAATCAAAACGCGCGCTGATCTGGTACATATCAAATTTATATATGCTCCTATTATCTTCGAATGTCATTCTGCTGAAGACTAGGACACTTCTCATGGCAGCCTGATAAGACAATGGGAGGTGAATTTTATTAACGAAAAAAGATTATGAAGGCCTATTAACTGATGTAGAGTTTTTTAGAGCTTAAAAACGAAGGCTTCAAATAAAATTCCAGGCGCCGACGATCTTCCAGCAGAGTTTCATAAGGTTTTTTGCGATCACGTAAAGCCCTTTTCATTAAGTGCCCTCAGCAGTAACTATCATGGCAAATGGGTATTTATCAATCACGCAGAAAAGACGACTGATTACTCTTGTTCCTAAGACAAATAAACCTGCCAATCTTCTGAAAAACTGGAAACCCATTACTCTCTTCAACTGTGATTTAAGAATCACAGCTAAATCATTTGCTAATCGCATTAAAATCGTTCTTCCGCAGATCATCAATAGCGATCAAACGGGTTTTCTGAAAAATAGAATAAGGAAAATATCGGTGAAAATATCAGGCTCATAGAAAGCATCATCAAGCATGCAAATACAAAACAAATTCCTGGTCTTCTACTTTTCTTTGACTTGGAAAAAGCCTTTGATAGCATAAAATGGCCCTTTATTGAGAGAACTTTGAAATATTTGAGTTTTGGAGTGTCGTTGGTGACGTGGTTTAAATTATTTTACACAGTTGTATCCAAAACAATGGTTGGTCTTCTGAGATTTTTTCTTTGAGTCGCGGAGTGAGACACTATTTCCCCATCTTCATTCTTTGCGCAGAGGTCTTGGACAGTGCCGTTAGGAAAGATGAAAATAGTTATGGCATTAATTCAACCAAAGTTGAGTCCAAACTCTCACAATATGCCGATGATACCACAATGATTCTAGACAGATCTAACCTCTCCCTTTCCAGAACCCTTTATTTACTTGATACTTTCGCAATCTCATCTTGAGGCTATAAATGATTGAAGTTCAGAGCTTTAATGAATCCTTAAAAATTAAATGGATAAAAGGATATCTAGATGACAATAATCAGGGGAACTGGAAATTCTTTGATAACTACTGCGAGAAACACGGTGGTAAATTGGTGTTTTCAGCTAATTTAAAACGGCAAGATACCCCTATACTCAATATTTGAGACCCTTTTGTAGCCGAAACTGTTGAATACTGGAGTACCTTTTGATAAAATAAAAATAATAGCGAAGACAACTTAAATTTCCCCTCCTCCCAGATCTACCTAAATGCTCTCATACGAATTGATTATGGACCCTTCTTTTTTAAGTCATGGTTCACGCAGGGATGAAAGATGTTAGGGATTTACTTGACAGTCCAAATTATAATTTCGTAACCTACACTGCTTTTATTACCAAATACAATATAGAAACGAACTATATAGAGTACCATAAAGCAGTGTCTCCTCTTATCAAAACGGGAGAAATGTTCCCCCAGTCAAAACCTCACTCCCTTGGAAAAAGCGCTGCCGAAAACCTCCAGTTTGCAACAAAAGTTATCACATCTTTTTCAAAAGAAAGACTTCATCGCCAGTGAAAACCCGGAAAAGTGGCTTTCTGAGGATATTTTTTTAAATGTACAAGTAAACGGGGAAAAAAACTATCAGCTACCATTCCTATATAATACGGAAAAAAAGTTAAGAGTATTTCAATTTAAATTTCGCATAGATCGATAGCTACAGGCGACTTCCTTCTTAGGATAGGCAATTAACTATCGTCAAAAACTCTATTCGGGTTACCATTTTAGTTGCATTTGAATGCCGTCGTTCGCTTAACTTAACTTAACTTAACTTTATTATTCTATCGCTCATATAGTACAAACTCAGTAAAGCCAAAGCAGGGGGCTTATACGGCCTGTGGTCAGAATGACAGAAATAATTTTATATAGAAATGAAGACTTTAGGCTAAACTACAAAACTAAAGCAAGATACAAAACTGAAACTGATTGCATGCAGTCCTATAACAGAGACGGAACTAGTGACAAGTAAACTAACAATAAACTATGAGAATCCTGCGCTAGTTCAATTCAGGCTTAAAAAGTGAAGTTTTAGTTTCTTTTTAAAGTTAGTAGTAGTAAGGCTGTCACGGACAGTCAAGGGGATATCGTTCCAAATAGTCGGGGCTTGAGAACTAATCGCAAATTGATACCTGAGGGACATTTCATGGAAGTTGAAACAAGAACGAGTTAGATAATCATGAAAATCACGATTAAGAAGGAGGAGACAGGAACGAGAGGCAGGTAAAAGACAATTAAAGTGTGAGAATACAAAACAAGAAACATGAAATTTATAAAGTGAATGGGGAGAAAGAATATTAAGCTTCGAAAAAAGAGGCTTTGAACGAGTTTGTGGAGGAGAAAAGGTGACAATTCGAATGGCTTTCTTTTGGAGTAGATAGAGGGGTTCAAGGTAGGAGGCGTATCTAGATGCCCAGATGAGGTTACAATAGTTGATATAAAGTAGAAGAGGGAATTATATGAGGTTTTTAGAGTGACCGAAGGTAAGTATCGTCTCGATTTACACAAAATTCTATAACCTTAGCGACTTTATCGCAGATGGAAGTGATGTGCGGTTTCAATAAAAGGTTTTCGTGAATAATTATTCCCAGAAATTTATGTTCCTGTACCCGCGCTATAGGAGTGTTATTCATTAAGATGTTTAATTCTGAAGGATTGATCTGAAGGATCTGAATTTGGATTTATCAGGATGAACGGTAAGCTTGTTTGCGTTGAACCAGGAGGAGACATGAGAAAGCTCTTGATTAACCATTCTAGCTACAGTAGCCAAGTCTTTATGACGAAAAAAATGTTGGTGTCATCGGCAAAGAGAATAAATGAAAGAAAATTTGAAGAAAGAAAAAGATCATTAATGTATAAGAGGAATAATAATGGACCAAGAACAGAACCTTGAGGGACGCCACACATAACAGTATTGATCGTTTTCACATGACGTCACGAAAATTTTGTTGCCATATTGGTATACAACCGCGGGTTGCCTGATTATGCAAATATAATGCAAATGAAGTCCACATCGCAAATCGTAGCCTTTCTAAAATGGATTGTTCTGACAGTGAAGCTAAACCAGATGAAAATGTTGAAGCTACGTCTTCCGTACCTCTTTCTGATTATGCTAAGAAGCTGGACCAGCGAGTTAAAAAGCGCTACGAGGACAAAATCGCAGCCATTGGGATTGATCCCGTGTTACTTGAGGGCAAGCACTTTGAACCGGATTGTTTACCTCCCGTGGAAGCTACAGATATTTTATCATATCTAGTCTTAGAGATTAGCTACTACACGCAAAAACAATTCAAGGCTTTTAGAAGTCTCGAGGCCTACAATCAGATGGTATCGGGATTCATTGCGAGCGTCGAAGGGCACATTGTCGCAAACAAGTTCGTTGGTTTGGCAAAGGTGAGACATTCACAACGTATGAAGGACTCTTTGATTCCTATCTGGATAATCACAGAACGAGAGAGAACGATACTTTCTGCCCATTGTTTGGGTTGCAAGGCCGGACTGGCAGAATCTTGCTCTCACATAGCCAGCGTTTTATTTTATCTCGAGGCTTGGACAAAGATAAACGGTCGGCTTTCGTGTACCTAGGTCAAATGCACGTGGCTTTTGCCATCGTATGTCAAGCAAGTCTATTATGCCAGGGTTCGTGACATAAACTTTACATCGGCAAAGAAGATGAAATCTGAATTGGATGCGAGTATTGACAATGTTCCAAATGATTCCTTTCCTGATGATTACAAACTTGATCTTACTGTTGCAAAAAAATTGTCAAAAGAAATCCCAGCCCCATCAAAAGCGGAAATGGACCAGCTCTTCGCTAAACTGAGCAAAAGCAAGAATAAGCCCATCGCTCTCAGTCTTATTCCAGAATATGCTGGAAGTTACGTTTGCAAGAGTCGCACAGTGCCAACAACGAAAGATCTTTTCGAAAACAAGTATCTTGACCTTACTTATCCTGATCTACTGAAGGTTTGTCAGGAGATTGATATCAAGATAACGACGGAGCAGATCACTCAAGTTGAAAGGGATACCATTACTCAAGCAAAGGGACCAATTTTTTCAAAAATAGGGCTGGGAGAATTGGTGCTTCCCAGTGCAAGGCTGCATGTAACTCTGACCCTGCCTTACCCTCTCAAACCTTAATTCAGTCTATTTGCTACCCAGAGTTAAATAAAACAAACACTAAAGCTGTCCTCCATGGGTGTAAACATGAAGAGCTGGCCATCAGAGCCTACGAGTTACACACTAACTTTAAAATAATTAGATGTGGGTTTTTCATTAATGAGGAGTATCCGTGGCTGCATGCCACACCTGACTTTTTATGCAGTTGTGATTGTTGTGGGGAAGGCTGTGGTGAGGTCAAGTGCCCTTTCTGTATTGAAAACTGTGACTTCGATGATTATGTGAGGAAGAGCTCTTCGTGTCTGAAAAAAGATAGTTCTGGAAATTTCAATCTAAAAACCTAACACCAGTACTACTTCCAAACACAACAGCAGATTTTTACATCAAAGAAACAGTACTGTGATTTTGTTGTTTGTACTTTTAATGATATTAAGGAAGCAAAGCTAGTTGTGCAGAGAATTGGTCCAGACATTGAGCATTGGAAGGCTATCTTACCAAAAGTGACTAACTTTTGGAAAACATGTGTGTTACCACAAGTACTCAGTAGGTGGTATACTCGGAAGCACAGTACCCCCAAAGTTGCCCATCCACGAAACAACGATGTATGCTTTTGCAGAACTGCAACAGATGAAGACACTGTCATCTGCTGCAACCCAGAATATCCCGTCGGAAGTTTTCACCTTTCCTGTTTACAAATTGACATGGTATTGTCCGAACTGTAGAACTTTACCAAAATTCAGGCAAAAAGGAAAATCTGCTCAATCTGCTAGGAAATCAAGCACACCTTCCCCTGCCTTGGCCATGCATGCCATTTGCATATGTAAAAGCAAGCCTAATGCAAGTGACAAGCTTGTGGAAGGTCACAGTTCTGATTGCAAGTACGGTAAATATTTTCATTTGTCATGTATCGGCTTAAGACGAATGCCAAATAACGGTAAAACAACCTGGATCTGTGCCAGTTGTAAAGGCAAGAAACAACAGTAGACTAGTTCAAGTCGACTGAGTTCTGCAGATGATATCACATTTGTAAAAGTGGTAAAAAACACTAACATTGCAATTGAAAAACATAAACGCATCGCTAATCTAACTCAAGCAGAATGGGATATCATTACTTCACCGACTGGATGGCTAGACTGTACCATTGTCCAAGAAGCCAGTGTTCTTTTGGCAAAAGTAAATCCCCCTATAACTGGCTTTCAAAGACCAACCCTTGGCCCTATAAGGCAGTTTGATATCATGATCACAGAGTTTGTCCAACTTGTCCATGTAAATAACAATCACTGGGTTTGTTTTAGTTCTATTGGGTGTGTCCCTGGACATGTCAATTTATTGAACAGTTTAGCACAATCTGTTATTTCTAGGGAAATTAGAGAGCTGGCAATGAATTTACTCGGGCCTAATTTCAAAGGAATTGTTCAAATACCAGTACAGCAACAAAAGAATGGAAGTGATTGTGGTGTTTTCGCCATAGCCTTTGCAACATGCCTTGTTTATGGAGGAAATCCATGCACCATAACTTTTGACATTCCTAAAATGCGTCTACATTTGTTGAGGTGCCTACAGAATGGCTCAATGCAACCATTCCCTACCACTTGAATTTCTTGAATTTAATGATGATAACATTATGTTATCTTGAGGGTTGACGTACATGCATATGAAAGTACGTTGAAAGAGTAGAGCAAGTTTTGAAACTCTGTTTTGACAACAAGTAGCATTGCATTTATTCCATGTTTAATATGGCTAATCAGTTTTATATAATTGGATGAAATAACCGGAGTCAAATGGGAAACTAAAACTGATCATTTACAACTGCCTAACTTTATGTTTACTGCGCCTGGCAATAAACTTTCTGTGCTTCAAGCTTCCAATATAGGTTCAATGTGTTGTTTGCTCCTGTTACAATGTTAGTAAGTGATTTGATTTCATTTTTACTAAGGCCCTAAGTGACTGCTGATAAACTGCTAGATGCTCCTTCAAATTACACTGTATTTTCTTGTGAAGCAAAAGTAGAATTTGACATTTACATCAACAGTCAGTTAGGGTCTGGTCATTGGAAACCTGTTTTATGATGTAACATTGTTAATCAAGAGGAACAATGCCTGGACATAGGTTAACAAGAGTAGCACATACAGTTATAATACGATCAATCATGGTCACTGCTTCTTCCTTGGAGCCTTGGAGATTGCAGATAAGAAAATCAATTGGAAGAATTCCAGATAGAATAGAGTATTTCCTGCGGAGGAGGCCAATCACTCTTTCGACATGTATCCTTACATTGGCAATACCCCTTGTCCGCTCAGCATCTACTGGGTCGAGCTGGTCCTTTCCTCTTGTGAATGCTGGAATAGCCAGTTGGGCCTGATGGAACATAAGACTTTCTTGTATGGTTAATCCACAATCTGCTAAGACTAAATCTCCTGGTAGTATAATTATTCTTTAAGATACCACAGTTCTCAGTTAGGAATTTGTCTGATGTTCTTCCACCCCACGCTTTGGAAACAAAGGAAATACTGCCCTGAGGTGTGATCCCAATCAAAACCTTAACTGTATTGTGGTTCTTATAGGAGGAGAATGTCTGTGCCCTGGCATAAAGACCTGACGGGCGGTTAATAAAAACTTCAAAACAGTGAATAATAACAGTTACTTTTTTCCCAAAAGAATCCTGAAAACACTGTGGCATTGTGCGCCACAGGTCTTCTCGATCAGGCCAAGAAACTACTGGTGAAAGTCTGACATCCAAAGCAATCATCCAACTAGAAAAAACTCGAGATACTGTCGAGAGGGAAACACCAATACGAAAGGCCAAGCCTTTCAGTGGCATATCTAGTTTCAACTTCATCAGTGTCAAGGCAAATTCTTGAAATTTTGTCAAAGTTAAAGTGTCACGAGATACATGAGGGGAAACGTGAAGAAAAAACAGCGTTTAAAATATCGAAGGAAGGCAGCCCTGTGTAAAATCTAACTTTATCCTCATTTTTGGCAAACTCATGTTGATCAAATGCCTTGTGATCTTTAAGTGGCGTGAATAAATAATCATATTCCTCCGACTGAATGCCAGTTTCTTTGCAGACAACTTTCTCAGTTTGAATTCCCTTTTCGTTCGGCGTTTCCTCGATCTGATCGTCAAAATTAAAATTCACATCTGCGATTTGGTGGCCAGGTTCGCTAAGATTTATCCTCTTGGCGGTCCTCTCTGCTTCAAGCTCTTTTTCCGTTTGTTCTTGTGCGGGTATTTTGATCTGTTCACGATCCCTCGCTCTCTGGCTTTGCTCTGTCGCTTTCTCCAGGTTTTTGGGACCTACTGCTTTCTTAGAGTGCCCTAAACACAGTGTTGGAACCCAGTCAACGTTAAATCTATCCAAAATGTCGTCTGTAAGATCGTCTCTACTAATCGCCGAAATCCAGCGTGATCTCCTTTCTCTAGACAAATTTTCCGCTTCTTTACCTTGATTTGTAACTACAGAAGGGACTCTTGCGAAGTAAACCCCGTTATTTCGTCCACTTCTGTTAGCACAGCCCACAATCATGCACAAAACCGTCTTGCACGCAAACGGCGCTTTGGTTTTGTTTATATACACCTTTGGTACACCAATATGGCGGTGTATACCACTCGTCACGTGAGTGAAAACGATCCATTATTAGAAGAAAGATGACCATTGACCATAACATACTTACTGTTGTCGGTTGTCTAAATAGCTAGTGCGCCAGGAATACCACGGATACCATAAAAGTTCAATTTGTCAGTATCTGATGATTTACAGTATCAAATGCCTTCTTGAGGTCTAAGGAAATTCCAATAGTGTATTCATTACTTTCAAAGCCTTCATATATATTGTTTGCAAATTCGAGGATAGCCATAGTTGTAGAATGATGTGGTCTGAAGCCATATTGATGGTTACTAAGAATGTCAAATTTTTCAAGAAATCCAGACAATCTGAAGTAAAAGAGTTTTTCGAAGACCTTGGAAAGACAGGGGAGAATAGAAATAGCCTGTAGTTAGAGAACAAGGAAGAGTCATCACATTTGAAGATGGAAAAACACCTTGAGAAAATGACAGATTACAGATATGGGTCAAAGGGGCAGCTATTAAATCAAAAGTATCTTTTATAGGGGAAATACAGAGGATATAAACGTCCTTGCTCGGTTTGTAGGGAAATGCGTCAAACCCTTTCCATTTACATTATAAATTTATGTTTAAATATGTCATACAACTGCCTTTGAAATGAGATGTTCTCAGAGAGTTTTTTAAAAAAATATGCTTCGCCTCTCTGCCCACCATTGTAGCAGTGCAAAAGAAGTCTTGGAGACTGACTTCGGGGTTATTGACATTGCAAACAAATGGATTTTGTCCTTCCTATCTTGTCGCACTCAGCTCTAAAAGTTTCGGTATGCACTGTTGTGTTCCACAAGGTAGCTGCCTGGGGCGGATTTTATGTATCATGTATGTATCTGGGATCTTCAACGGGGTTAAGAACCACCTGCCTAGTATCCATGTGGATGCAGATGATATCCAACTGTATTTGTCCTTCAATGTCGACATCTTCGCAACTTGATGCGCTCAGAGCATTTATGTAAGCTTGTACAGCTGAAGTTCGAGCTTGGATGATCACCAACCGACTCAAGATAAACGATACAAAAACGGAGTTTCTCTTTGTGGGTTCTTACCAACAGTTGAGCAAGGTCCAGTTTGAATCAGTTATTGTCGGGATTCTGAAATGAAGCTTATTTCCAGCGCCCGCAATCTCAGGGCACGGTTTTAAAAGAATCTCCCCATGAGAATTTATGTGAGCAAAGTATGCAGTAAGGCCATCCGCGGTCTATATTCCATCAGACAGGTCCGAAAGTAAAAATTGGAAGATGCTGCCAACATCCTGGTTCACTTTTCTGTAACATCTCGTCTCGACTACTGCAACTCTAACCTCTTTGGCATTCCAAAATACCAACATGATCGGTTGCAGAGGATTCTTAACGCAGCTGCCTGCAACATCTGCCTTGTACACACGTTTAGTCACCACACGCCAGTCCTTTATAATCTACATTGGTTACCAGTGCCTTACCGGATTCAATTTGAAATATTGCTACTTGTTCACCCAGCTCTCTTTGGTGTTGCCCCTGTCTACCTAAAGAAGATTCTAAGGAGAGTGGTTCCTACAATTTAAGATCTAAATTAAGCTGCGAATTTTTTTTTTGTGTACAGTGATTGCGATGTTTTATTTTCATTTTCTCTAAGTGCACTGTGTTATGTTTAGTGTTTGTCAGCTTTTACTAGCGCTTTATATATTTTTCGCGCTATACAAAATTGATGAAATATTATATTATATTATATGAGCTTTGACCATATTTCTGAAAGACAACATTGTTACCCAAACTGTCCACACTGTGGTTTAACTGAAAAGTGACTGATATATGCGATATGTTTGCTGTACGGAGAAAGTTTAGGGACTGCACAGTTATGCACATAAAGAGGTTCTCCCTTCACGCTTTCTTTTGCTGGGTTTTGTCGCTAAAACAGCCGCACAGCCTTATCCTTTCGCCTTCCTATAACACTGTCATAACCGGGAATGCTACGGATAATATTCTCTTCAGAATTTTCAAATTTACCTTTACTCTTAGAATATATATTTGACGCAACCCTTTCCGGTAAATTACTAGCATTTGATATGTAATTTGTTAAGTCGCTTAGTTTACATCTTTTTTTTAATGTATCAAACATTCCATCACGCTGGTTTCTTGTTTGTCTTACCACCATAGATCAGTGCCGTAGCACGTTTCTTCTTTTCAATGCAAATTTTGATCCTGGTTAGACTTGCCATCACAAAGTACAGTTGGCTTTCTGGTTCTCTTTGCAGAAAATAGTTTCAATAAATATTACGGTAATTAACGAAATCCATTTAGATCAGTAGTAATTTTGTTTGCATCTCTTGAAAAAGTTATTAGTGATAAGCAAACTCACCGAAACCGAAAATAACAAAGTAGGTGAGAAATAAAGGACTTGAAGTAATAAATAAATGATAATCTTTAAACAATAAATAAATAACATGCAACTTATTTCACTGTTTTCCAGTCCTTGAGCTTTTGTATTATAGTCTACCTGTGCTGTATGAACTAAACAAAAACGATAATAAAAAAACTGTGAGGGAAACTTGCAGGCAGAATAATTCAGCACTGGCAGCCCTAAAACATACACAACAAATAAGCTCAAATACATTGTAGAACATGTTCAGTACGTATCAGCCACTGGCCATCACGAAATAAAAATTGAGCTTCAATATTATCTTGGACTGAAGCCTTGCAAGTTTCATTCGCTGTGTCTTGGGTTTCCTTTCTTCATTTTTAATACAGTTCAAGAGATTTGTATTTTCTTTTAAGGCACGATCTTGCTCTTCCTTCCGGTATTTCATCAATCTCGCAACAATGAGCTTCTTATAATTCTTCGGAGGCATTGTGCGCTCCATTAGCCACCAAAAAGCAAACAACAAACATAGAGGGTGAGAGGAATGGTTTGTTCACTTAAAACTTTGCAGTATTCCTCAGAACTGTAAGAGGCTAAAGAATTTATACACGAAGAAAGCACTGATAAAATTGAACACAGAAGACAGCGCCATCTTTAAAAAAGTAAAAAATAGCAAAAAATTAATAAGTACCTTTAATTTGGGCATGACAGTTTCGTCCATCCAACCAAAACAAAAAACAAAAAGTCGATCAATCCATCCTAGAAGTGCTAGAGAGCCTATTCTTGTGCTAATTTTCTCGTCACCACACCCCGCTATGGCTTACGTGGATCCAACCTCCATTTTTGATCACTAAAGAAGGAGAAGTTCCAGTGTTTCTTTCTAGAGAGTTCTGGAAGTGTCTCCTAAACGGTTACGATGGCTTTGATCAACGTTTGGCTTAGATCCTAGCAGAGGCACACTTTTAATATTTCGAAGTTATAATCTTCAAAAATCCAGCCTCAGAGAGCTCCATAAAGAATTCAACAAATATCATTTGAAGTACCATCGCTCCAAAGGTCTTGTTTCTTCTTCTTTTTTTCCCAAACGTATTTGAGCTGCAGAGCGGCGCGGACAAGTAACTACAGGCAACTACGCTAAGCCCGAAACGTTTAAGACAGCTCCAAAACGTTTTCTCAATAAGTTTGCGAAAATCAGTACCAAACATCATTATAAAACGCGATTATCTACAGAGGAATTGTTTCTCTGTCAATTTCTCTAGAACTGAAAAAATGAAGAAATCTTTCACTAGAATTGGTGAGACCATTTGGAATTCTATTCCGCAACCTGTTAAAACTCCAAACTTGTCTAATTTTCGTAAAAAAATTAAATCACTACTCCTTAATACCCTAGATAATGAAGATAATTATTTGAATGTTACTCATTTAATAGTTAACCTGATACGTTGTATATACGTCCATTGTAATTTTAGTCTTTTTTTTCTAATAACAAAACCCCCGTGCTTGAGTTTGTGTGAGGGGTCTTTCTTTCGGTGTGTTGTTGTATTTCTTTTCTTTTCCTTTTTCCTTATTATGTAATTTGATAACGCCTTTATTTATAAGTTTCGTCCTGCCTAGATTAGCGCTATGGCTATTTGCAGGGCATAAAATATTGTAAGCTTATGGATCTTAGCAAAAATATGTTGTTGTTAATCGGAGAAGAAGAATTCAAACCGCTTACTTACTTACTTTCTTAAGTGCCACGCAGCTTATCCGAATTTTTTTCCGTTTTTTGTTTGGGCTATACTAGTCGTTGACAGATGATAACATAAACATGTTAGCAAATTATATACTTTAAAACAATAATTGTGCCAGCACAGTTCTAGTAAAGTAAGCGAAAAAGTTTTAGC